AAAACCTAAACCATTATTCACTTTTGGGCCTGGTTGTACCAAATAGTTGTCTTTAAGATGTGAATTTACGACATCTTATGTACATCTTCAAAACAATTTCTTCTAGACCTTTTTTTTTGGTCTTCAGACGTTTAGACGAAATGCAGACGACTTTGTGAGCTGTCTAAAGAGCTCATTTTTTGACTATGGGAAAGTCTAGAGATTCTATCGATATGAGAATTTAGACCAAAGTTTCTGAGAATTTTGAAGACTCCGAATATTCTGGGTGTTTGCAGATTTATTTTTTGAAATTGTAGAGAGACGACTTCAATAAGTTTTACTTCAAAGAGTGATTACCAAGACGCAGCTTCAAAGCCTTTCAGGAGGCTTTAACGACTCATTTTTCGAGATTGTAGAATGATGAATTATGATTTGAAGAATCCGAAGATTTTTGAGGATACGATATAGATTTCACGGGATTTTGAGAACTTCAAAGATTTCCATTGCCCAGAAAACTTATTTTTGAGGATTGTAGAGCAAATATTTCTTCTTTAAATTCTGTAAATATACTCCAAAGATGCTAAAGACACGAAAGTCTTATTCTCCAAAGATTCTCAGGCCTAGAAGATTTATTTTTGGAGATTATCTCTATAGAGACTAAAAATTTTGAAGACTATGACTATAACTTCAAAACTGAGGTTCTAAGGACATATTTTTTCAGATTGTAAGTTGAGGAATCTAGAGACTATCGATGTATCAATTCGGACAATACCCTCTGAGAATTTTAAAGACTTCAAAATTTGTAGAATGAATCTGAAAAGACTTTAAGAATTGCCAAGAGGTAACACTTTTAACTCTTAAAAGGCTTTTAGGAATCATTTTTTGAAATTGTATAATGAGGAATCTATAGACTGTCAAATTAAAAATTCAGACAAAACTTTGCAGACTTCTCAAGATTGCGGAGTCGGGACTTAAAAGACCGTTTGAGGACTTTTTAATTTCGAAGAAGGACTCAATTTTTGAGATCAATGAGAAATCTAAATAATTCAGACAAATGCTTCTGAAGATTTTGAAATTAGAGATTCCGCAGATTTTGAAACATTGCAGGCTTATTCCTAGAAATTGTGGAGTCAGAAGATTGTAAAGACACCACACCAAAAGCTTAATTTTCTGAGCATCTATAAGACATCTGTTGATTTGAATTTTTAGACTGAAGTTTATAAGGATTTTGGAGACTCCGAAGATTCTGAGACGTTACAGCGAGGGTTCTATATAAGGACTAAAAGTTTTAACGACAATAAAGATTTCGCAGTGTAGTAATGCAAAAAACTCAGAAAAAAGACTTTAATCGACAAAATTAAGCATAAGATTAACTTGACAAATAATTAATGACACAATCTTGAATGACACACAAATACAGATAGACATGTATTAATACATAGAGGTGTATCACCACATTCTCCCCTGGCCTATTTTGAAACGGCTCATGTGAATAAAACAGAAGCAAATGCTTTTACTTAAATTTTTTGAGATAAACATATTCAGTTGTAATGCAGCAAAGAGAGATGGAGATAGAGTGAAAGCATTTGCTACACGCTACACTTTATTCACATGGCTGAATGTGTCAAGTAGTCAAGAAAAACGCAACTGGTCGTCCAGACTGGCTTAAAATTGCTGCTATTGAATGTCTGTTTCTACCACAAATGGAATGTTTTCTTCAATGGCGGTGACAGCTGATTTTGCTACTTCAATTTTTGATTGTGAAAATCGGTGACAGCAGGCTCTTTCATAGGAATGTTTCTGATACTAACAGTTCTATGAATTTCCTTGGAGAATCTAGGTTTCCATTTAGATTAATGAGCGAACATGCCCACAGCTCTTTGAAGTGAAGCTTTATCAGTTAGTACTGGCAGATTCTGTAGAGGTTCAAGTCTTGCAGGATCAGGTTTAAGTGTTCTGTTTCCTATAAGATATCCCAGTAGTTTAATTGTCTTTTTGTTGAACGAACTTTTACTTTTATTTATAGTTAGCTGGTACTTTTCAACAGCTGACAGATTCTTATCGTGCTCTTCTTGATTTTTTCCAGAAATTGTCATATCATCGAGATATGCGTAGACGCCGTCGAGATTCTTTTGCCTTATTATTGTATCTAATTCTTTGGAAATAAGCTACGCCGTTAGTCACACCAAAAGGGATACGATTAAACTGGTACAGGTTTTCATCAGCTTCAAAAACAGTGAACTGTTTTTCATCATCTCTTATAGGGAACTGGTGATACGCACTTTCTAGGTCAATAGTGCTAAAAACGTCAAATTTTGAGGCTGCTCTCACCAACCCTTCGATATTAGGTAAAGGATAAGCGTCAAGATAAGTAACCTTGTTGATTGTTTGAGAATAGTCAACAACCATTCTTTTTTTATGATTTTCGTTCTTTGTCACAAGAACTTGTCATGTCTGGGAATGTCATAACACAACCAACGATAATATCAGCACAGAGATCTGGTAAAACCGTGTATCTTTGTTGCTACACTCGAGGTATTTCGCGTTACTAGAATTTTCAGGTCTCAAGAACTTGTCCATAATGTCGATTAAATTGTGGTGGTGCAAATACCTCAGAAATAAGGGTTTAGTCGACAAAATTAAGCATAAGATTAACTTGACAAATAATTAATGACACAATTTTGAACACAAATACAGGTATACATAGTATTAATGCCCGATTGCACCATCTCTCTTAACCGAGGCTTAGAGATAACTATTCCTTAAAGTGACATTTTCCCATGCAAAACTGTCAATTTAAGGGATAGTTATCGTTAAGCCTCAGTTAAGAGAGATGGTGCAATCGGGCATAAAACATAAAGGTGTATCATCACACGCAGATTGTAAAAATGCCACACTTGGAGACTTTGGAGAAAAGGCTCTAAGAACTAATTTTTGAATTTGAAGCATTAAGATATCAAAAACTGCGGAAATTCTAAGACTGGATACTTTTTCTGGAGATTTTACTTAAAAGGATGTTTAAAAACTCTGAGGATTGCAAAGACTCCACTCTGAAGACGTGAAAGAGGTTCTAAGGACTCATTTTCTAAGAATGTAGAATCCAAATAAGACTTTAGACTCTAGACTCGCTGGATTTTGAAGTCTCCGAAGATTCTGAGGCTCGGAAGACGGGAGATTTTGAAGATTGTAAAGACTTCGAGGATTCTGAAAACACAAAGACTCATGCTTTGATATCGTAGATGTAGCATCTCATCAGGATCTTGAAAACTTTGAAGATTTTCTTGACCTATTTTTGCAGATTGTAAAGTGAGGACTTTATTGAGAGTGAAGAGTTCAATGACTGTGAAAACTGCGAAGATGGTAAAGAAGCAACACAACATTCTGGAGTCTTGGAATACTAATTTTTTGACATTGTAAAATGGAGACTCCGAAGGTAACTTAAAATCTAAGGTTCGGCCTTTTTCTGGACAGCTAATAATATCCATATTTTCTTCATGTGGATTGCTGTTTCTTACATAAAGATTTCAAGCTGATTTGTCTAAAGTTTATAAAATTAATACTACTTTGATTCATATCCATCTATACATTAGTCAAGTTTGCTCCTTAGATCATCAAAACCAAACCAAGTCCTCCTAATACAATATAGAAAAGCTATGGATATTTTCCAGAGTCTCACAAATACATCAAGCGCCAATTTACATTTTAAAAAAAATCAAGTCACGCCAACCTGAAAAGTGTTTTCCAGAGATAACCATCTACCTCTACGTGTACACACTGAAATTACCTACACTTTCCTGTGTTCGATTTTTCCGCAACGAAGGCGGAAATCGCCGAGGAAATTAAGGTTTTTCTTTACGAAAAACAGTAGCGTAAAACGCGATTCTTGCATTAGGGGTATTAATCAATGACTTTCCCATTAACATTTAGAATTTCATTATGTCAAGAACAAACTAACTGTCTGGCAACAATGCTCAGGTTTAATTATCTCTCTAATAGATGGCAGAACTGATTTTTCAGTTGGGTTGCTCTCTAATAGAGGTCACTCACAGGGCAGTCTACTATATGTTTTGAAGAGATGGCACTGAAGACGAAATCAATCTTTCAGTGTTGCCAAATCGATTACAATATAGTAAATTATTATTCGAATTTCTTTTTATAAAGGTTCAGCTTTGTAAAAAGCGACACCGCGATAAATAAAAATGGTTCATGTTGCCGCCCGGCACGTGCATTTTTTTACATAGTCGGAGTTCCATTATTTATGCCACACGAATCCGCGATTTTTATTAGGGACAATCAGTCGTGACGTTTTACGTTAAACGGTAAAGTTTATACATACTTTGACACAGGGGCATTCATTTCAGTAGCGCGCCTACACAATTTTAGCGAAAATATATGATGGAGCTCTCTATTGTCTCGTATATCACGTGAAACCCCTTTTATAATGATTTTCTTTCGTGACACAAATTGGCCAATGAAAAATTACTTTTTGGCTGTTCCTTATTTTTCTTTTGTTGTTGCTTTTGTAGGAAAAATGAAACCTGGAAATAAATCATAAGTATATCGATATAATGAAACTTAATTATAATGCTTGATTGCATTAGGCTAAGGAAATTTCAAGTGCTAAATAGGTATTCATCAAAGTCCTCAATCATGTTGTACTCTATGATGAAGAAATTTTAGAAAAACGTTACTCAAAAATTCAGCTTCATAAGAGTCAAGTTTTACTCTAAAAATGCTCAAAAATCAGAGTACATAGGTACTCTAGGAGACCCGAAAATGCGATTTTCATTTTTCTCAGTTGAATGCTGAATTCAGCTCTATGAGGTAGCAAAATGAGCTTCCTTGAACCATAAATAGCTCAATTATTGAAAAAAAAAAGGAGTTTGAACTCCGGGACTGCACAGGGCTTAAATAGCAACATATAATTTACACAGATTGATATAGGAAATGAGTTTTCTAAAATGTTGTCACAATGTGAAAAAAAATACAATTTTCAATATATTATTTCCTTTTTATTTCAGGTAACCAGTTTGCTTCTAGAAGCCGAAAGAAGAAAACTTTCAGTCCTCCAAAAAGAACTGAAAATAGCCCTCGAAGAGGGCGGCTCGATTAAAGCAAAGGAACACCAGAAACAGGAACTGCTAGTCGCCATAGCGTAAGTCATACAATACATTTTTCACCCTGAACCATAACTTGTTAAAAATAAACAATACTCCTAGCGCCATCTAACATTGATTCACAAAAATTGTTTCAGGCGGATTCAAGCGCAACACGATCACTTGGACAAAGAGTACAGGGAGCACGCGCTAGGAGCGCTGATATCGGCCAACTCGCGCGGTTTTGGAAAGGTAACGATTCATTTATTTTGCTTATAGCATACACCGGTAGATGTCGCTACTTGTATAATAATACCACTTTTCACAGATCAAATAATATTTAAAAACTTAAACCAAATACCAATACCAAATACATACTGAATACATAACAGGTTGTGGGCCTAGGCAGTTTATTCGAAATTAGGTGAAAATAAAATCTCAACCAACTACCTACAAGTAAGGCTTGGAAAACTCTTAATACATAAAAGTCTTTCTCCTTTCTGTTTATTTTTCTTGGAAAAGTTTATTTAGGAATTAGATAGCTAGAAAGTCGGAGGGAAAGCGAAAGGACAAGCTATTAGGGCTGACATTGATAGAAGATCGGAGGGATCGGTTTTTATGGGCGCCCAGGTAAGTAAAGCTAGGTGGGGCATCTTTAAAAGATGAACTTTGAGAAAGGATTGATTTTCTTTTTTGGGAAAATTTATAGAATACAAGGTCGGATACGATTAGTGAAACTAACAGGAATGAACTGTGTTTTTTCCTAAACATTTAAATCATGGAGAAATTGGTGATCCATTTTAAGTTACATTCCAATTTTTCTTGGATTCTTTAACATACGCACTGGCATGTGAATGGCTATGCGGACGCAGTGGATATCACAAATAACAATTTTGACAGCTTGGGAGATGAAAGCACTATTATATTTCTATATCAGAGGCGACTTGATCAGCGCCGGTTTTACCACTAGGCGGACTAGGAAGCCGCCTAGGGCCCGGACGCTCAATGGGGCCCGAAATTCACTCTGAAATCAAATATTTTATTTTGGCAACCTTGCGCCCTGAAACGTACCACACCACCCGAATTCCGCACACTATCGGCAACACTATTCTGTAGCTGTGGGATTCCCAACTCAGGTAGAGTCCACTTAACCATATGTCATGTTGCTGATGAACATCCACCCAGAGACAGCACACAAAGTCTTGAAGACGTCTTTTCTAGGATCTGCATTACGTCCGAACGTCTGAAGACCAAAAAAGACGCCTAGACGTTGTTTTGAAGATGTCCATATAAGATATCGTAAATTCATATCTTAGACAACTTTTTGGTACAACCAAGCCTAAAAGTGAATAATGATTTATGTATTGAAAACAGATTCAAAAACGTCGTTGAGACATTTCGTTGAAGAAGTCTTTAGAATGGCTTAGTGCTAAAGACATCTTTAGGCAGATCTCTGGAATACGTTGGGTTTTGTAACATTACGACATCTTCAAGATGTATTTGAGACGCCTTAGAGACGCAGGCAAGACGTCTTGAATGTCGTTTATGGACATCTTAGGGACGTCTTTAAGAAATAAAATTTCCCACAGAATTCGTTTCTCATTTAATTCAAAAGTTACTGGAAAACATTTAAAATGCTACAGAACACTCTAGAACTTTAATAGGCCTTTTGAAAAGTTCAAAACATTTAAAATTAAATTCCGAATTTCCAAGAGCACTCTGTAGCGCTTCAGAAAATTTTGGAAATTTCAGAACCATTTTAGAATGCCCCAAAACATTCAAACACCGATTTCCAAAAGCATTTCAGAACAACTCGGAAGTTTGAAACCCATTTTAGGACGCTCCAAAACAGTCAAACTCAGACACTGTAGAATCCCTAGAATCATTTTGAAAGCGCCAGAATAAGGGATTCAGATTAAAAGTTACAAAACGCCTTTCAGAAGGCTTTTAAGAGCAAATTTAGATTGCTGTAGAATTTTAGAACTCTTAAAGGCATTTAAAACAGCTCAAATCCAAATCAGAATTTTCAGGAGCATTTTGGAGCAATTGTGAAACTTCAGAGTTATTTTAGAACAATTTCAAAATTCTAAATTGAATCCTTATTTAGAACTGGAAACCTTTTAGAACTTTTTTGAACCAATCTAGAACTCTTTTGGAGCTTCAATAGGGGTCTAAAATACTTAAAAATCTGGCAGAACAATTCAGAAATTACTGAAAAACTTCTAGAATGCTCCAGAACTCTTCAAACCAAGTTAGAACACTTTAGAACTTCAAAAAGCCATTTAGAACGTTCCAAAACACTTTCCAGTAGTATTTTGAAAGGCTTTTTCTTTCAATTTGGACAAAAACAGTAAAAATTTACTTTGCGATAAGGCCCCATATCTACTGCCGCCTAGGGCCCAGTATAGAGCCTTGAACCGGCGCTGGACTTGATATAGCAAGCTATTGAACCCTGAAGAATGTACCTTCAATAAACTCTATGAGAATATTATAAGGAGTCTAATAGAAGCCACCCAAGAAGTAATGGGAACGAAGAAAAAAAATACCAACAAGAAATACTGGTGGAACGAGGAGATAGAGCTATTAATCCAAGAGAAGAAGCAAAAATATCTGGAGCAACAAAAACTGAACAAGATTTTGGAGCATAAAAACACAAAAAGACAACTAAGAACGTGAATCACTATAGCTAACAACGAGTCGTCGATTCATGGGATGAGAAATTAACACCTACATAGTAGGAAGAAAATGCTCAGAGGTATGGAGATTTATATCAAATGTCAAAAACCCAGAAAAGAACAGAGCTAATATCCAGGTAATCAAACCAGAGCAATAGATAAAACAGTACAAGGGTCTATTACAAGAAACTAGACCGGAATATATATTAAATTCTCCAAGACATATTGAAGAAGTTATCTGAAGATATCTGAAGAAACAGTGAAAGAGTTAAGAGTCTTAATAATATACTCCGAGCTGCTGAAATGAGGAACTGAGAAGCTCTTCACAGGTCTCACATGTATTATCAATAAATGCCTAAATAGACATATCCTGTCGTCTTTCCATCAACTCACCAAAAAAATAAGCTGGACTGCAATAACTATCGGGGCATATCAGTCACCAGCACTCTAAGCAGACTATACGGCAGGATCCTGCGTAATCTCATTAAAGAAGATTATAAAGAGAAAGAAGAAGAAGAAGAGTAGTGCGGCTTTAGAGCAAGAAGATGAGGTACAGACAACGTATTTTGCCCAAAACAATTCATAGAAGAGATCTGCTAGACATTTGGAAACCCATCTCACATTGTGGACCTACAAAAAGCATACGATACAGTCCCAGTATCCAGACTATGGAAGGTCTTAGAACAATCTAACATCAATCACACCTGTATAGCGGCCCTTCAAGAACTATATAGGGACTCAAAATCAAGAATTAAAATAGGTGAAAAACTCTGACACATTTTTAGTGAATAGAGGACTACGTCAAGGATGTTGTATCTCTCCTGCGCTTTTCAAAGTATACGTAGCAGTAGCTCTAAAAAATAGGAAAAGGAAGATCCATGGTATGGGTTATATGGTATATGGGTATAGAGATAAATGATAGGTGCCTGGTGCCTGTTTAATCTTCACGGCAGATGATCAGCTCCGGGCCGTAGCTAGAATCAAATTTGTGGTAGGGCATGAAAAATTTAACAAAGGGCATGCACTACTTCCCTCCGCCCCTTAAATTTTTTATAGGTAAACAGAATCGGGGTAATGGCGCCGAAGGCAAATTTTTCAATGAACAACATCAAATAACATTTCTGGCGAATAAAAAAAATGGCGCGTTCAGGAAATAAATTTTGAGGGACCTCTTGTACTTGTACTACTTGTAAAATAACTGTATGCCTATGATATAAATTAAACAAAATATCTGTGTGTAGGCACCCAGATAGAAAATTGGGAGTGAACAATGGTCAGAAAATTCCAAAATCTCAGGTATATGAGCATTAAGGTATGACATTCGACAACACCGGAACAGAAGTGAAAGAAATAGAAAAGTGAATAGTTAAAGCTGAGAAAGTAATAAGATGCCTAAATGGAATCTGATGGAGCATCTTGAGCAACGAAATAACAAAGAAGAGAAAATTCAATATATATGAGACAACGATAAAGGGCAACGTTCTATATGGAGCAGAGACTTGGAGAATTACAGACAGACAAAAGAAGAAAGAAGAAGCAGTTGAAATAGATTATCCATGCGAATCTCACAAAGAGAGAGAATGCGGAACGAAATGGGAATAGAAGCTACGATAGTTCAGGACATTGAAAGGAAACTACCTGGTACGGACACGTACAACGAAAGCCAAATAGCAGGTGGCCCAAAAAAATGCTGAATTGGCAACCAACAGGTAGAAGAAAACGAGGAAGACCAGAACTGGAATGGCAGAAGACCATACAAAAATTCATGAGTGAAAGAAATCTCTTATCAGAGGATTGCGCCGATAGAAAAGAGGATTAAGTATTAGACAACGAAAAAAGACGTTTTAAACCGACATATATATACATATATGTAAATGGGTGAAATGTATTAATAACAAGAACTTATTATGGATATTTTTTCCTTATGTTCCCCATACGCTTACTCCACACCTATTTCTTCAATATATTGAATTTTCCTCAGACTTCAACTTCTTCTGAGATTTGATCTTCTCCACTGTTTTACATTCACTCCATTCTTCCGCAATTTCTTTTTCATTCTTGGACCAGTCATCCCGTAGAACGAGCAATCAAAATTCTTCAATGTTATCTTTTTGAGTGAAGAGAAGAGTCCTTTTTTTCAAAACTTAGTTAATCCCTCTCCATCTGCTGTAAAAAGTTGGAGTTCTAGCCTCGAAATTATTATCATAGAGGAAGTTTCTTCACCCATTTTCCTATCGGATTGCATTGGAGCATCAGCTTCATTTATTTCTACGTCAGTAAAGACTTCATCAATAAAATATTCTGCTGGAAAATCTCCTTTTTCAAGCATGACTAGATATCCCTTTTCATTTGCTGCGGAAAGTTTTTTTTTCACATTATTATAGATAAAACCGACTAAGAAGAAGCCACCCCACCATGTGATTTTTTGTCTCACTTTAAATGAGAGGGTCCTAGAGAAAAAGAAATCTGCTTTCTTTGTCAGCGCTAATGACAGTGGCTTCTTCTCGTTTGATTTTTACTCTACAACATCGATACGTTTCACCTTTTCATCTATTTATAGTCTATAGTATCCTAAGACCAAAGTTGTATCAGGCTATGAATGAA